CTTAGAGGGTAAATATTTTGGATAAAAACCCTAATGTGGGAAATAGACCATAAGTTGCTGCCAACTTCTAGGAAGCAAGTTTGCCAGGGTTTGTCATCACGTAAAGTTATTTTGACATTTGCAATTGATAATTTGACAAATGTAAACATTAACGTTTTTATTATCCCATGCGGGTGAAGTCGCACGGGAACAGCTAGTTTAATTATAACAGTGTACTAAAACAGTATGTATGTATTTTCAGTGATAAAGGAGGATTCCCACAACGGTCTGATACCGGAGCACGCGCTGGTGTCGCTGAAGCCGAGGAAGCGGCGGCCGGGGCTCGTCTCTGAACGACCTATTAGTGTGAGTTTAATATTGTTTACATTATTTTATTACTCAAGAATATATGTTTCTCTATTTAAAGTTTATATAGAGTTATCGCTATATATGTAGAAGCTCAAACGTCTTAAATAAATCATTCACGACAAATATTCTGATTTTTGCTTATTATGACTATTTGAAACACTTACGAAGGAAACTCTTGTCAAGAATGTTCATCTGTACTAATATTATAAAGAGGAAAGATTTGTATTTTTGTTTGTGAAATAACTCAAAAAGTAACCGACCGATTTCAATTCTTTCACCATTAAAAAGCAACGTTATCGACGAGTAACAAAGGCTATATTTATAAATTTCACACAGACGAAGTCGCGAGTTACAGCTAGTATAAAAAAAGTCATCAAAAAATTTTTAAACGATAGGAGCTTACGTTTACTTAATAAAAAAGCTTAAAGTTCAGTTGTTTATGTGTTTTTGAATTACCGTTTTTGTAACAAAAAGTGTTGTGTGTAGCCTCGTACCGAGGAGGACAAGTTGGCGGGTCGTATGGAGGTGAAGCGCTACAAGCAGACGAAGGAGAAGCTGCGCCGCCGCAAGGAGCGCCTGCTGCAGCGCGTGCGCATGCTGGCATCCGCAAGACCCAGGAAACACCACCTCAAGGTAACTATATACAAACAGTGACTCGTAAAGTATGTAAAAATAAACTTATCTATACTATTATAAGGCGTAAACAACTTCTTTGTTGCCTAAGATATCAGCAATTGCAGCATGTTTTTGAATAATTCTTTTTTTTTTAATAAAAAAACCCTACACTTACGTCACGCTTTAGGTTATATTACACGCCATTAAATTTAGGGGGTAAATATTTTAAAAACCTTAATGTGGGAAAGAGACCACAAGTTGCTGCCACCATCAAGGAAGCAAGGTTTCTCTTGTCATGTCATTTTGACATTTGCTATCAATATATTAATAGAATTTTCATAAACTAATGCGGGTGAAGCCGTACGGGAACAGCTAGTTTTTCAATAATTGCTAACCTAAAGTCTGTAAAAAAGAGAATCACTCCATAGTGATGTCTGTATATTCCATGATAAGCATGTCTTTTAAAGATCAAAAAAGAAAGACAAAAAAAAGTCCAAAAAGGAGAGAGTTTAAATATAAATTGCATACTATAGGTGTCTTGCCATATAAAACATTGATTCTAATACATTTTATCTTGTAGTCGTCGCTGTAGCATCCATTTCGATCTATTATTGGAATTTCGATAAATTATGGTCAGCCCTGCGAAATACATTTTTTACCAACATATAATAAAGTACTTATACCGAAAGCATATAATGTTTATGACCGTAATAGCAGTCAGCGTTAGTTAGTGCTTAACTTTATATTTTGGTGTAAAGCTATAACATTTCATTAATTTCCAATAAAATTCAACAGATCACAGACATAGAAGATTTCGAAACAGACTCCGAAGGTGATTCCGATGATGGTACCAACGAGAAGAGCATCAATTTGGTCTCCTCGCCAGCGGACGAGGTGGAAAACCAAGAGGAGGAGGAAGTAGAGGTGAAGGAGACGGTGGACTCCGAGGAGGTGGCTCGTAGGATCAAGGAGCAGTTCCGCAGCAGCATGGCACGGGTCATGGTTCAGCATCTCAACCCTTACCGGCACTCGGATGCACCTGCGGGCAGGATTACTTGCACTTCAGATTTCAAACATCTCGCTAGAAAGGTAAATCAACGATTACTAGATTACGTTATAATAAAGGCAACTTAACTCTAGTTCTGAAATGTATTTCTTAGTATCAAAATTTGCTATGTGTAGCAAACAATTTAATACAAGATGCTGTTCACGGCCGCCCACATGAAATTAAAATATAGAGCCTATGTTACTCAGCGGTAATTAATTTTAAAAGAATATTTTAAATCGGCCCAGTAGTTTTAGAGTTATTTAGCCAAAGAGCAGTCTATAGAGAAGCGTAATTGACTTAAAACATCAACTTACATTGTCTGTAAACGTAAACCATCTTGAAATCTAAACCTTGACTGACTGCAATTTTTTTTTCAGTTAACACACTTCGTGATGCTAAAAGAATTAAAGCACTGTCGGTCAGTAGAAGAGCTGGTAGTGACGGACTCGGTGCGTACGAAGGCGAAGACGTTTGTACGGAAGTACATGGCCAAGTTCGGGCCGGTGTACCGCCGCCCGCCGGAGGAGGCCGACTAGCGAGAGCTTGCGCGTTATTATAACGCGATTAAAACACAATATCAAAAACAATATCAAATTATAGTTGATAAATTAATTAAGTGATTCATTGTGAAGTGAATAAAGTGAATTGTGATTGTGACAAACAGAAGATATCGAAATAAAGGTATGTTCTAATTATTGACCATTTATAAGTGGACATGCAATAGTTATTTGATTTTCGCCATTTTGGCGCTGACTACAGTAAATGGCAGTGGAAAGAATTTTAACTAATAATGGAGATTGATTAGTAACAAGGATATCTAGGTTGAAAGGTTGGTACTATCAGAAAATATGTGGACTAGAAAATAGTATGAAAAAGTGGACTAGTAAGTTAAAGTTTAGTTTCAATTATACCCACCGGGTTAGGTAACTTACAGTCTATAAATCCAAAATAAAAAAATACTGTAATTTCCATACCACCTATCCATTTAGTAGACATCAGTGGTCTCAATCTTATGTTTTTAAATTGAAATGAGTTAATGAAGTTAGCTTGGTTAATTACTTTTCTCTGATTTTTCATATTAGTTTTAAATTGTGACTCAATGTAAATTGTTCATGTATCACAATTTAATATAATACTGTAAAGCAATAAACTGAATTATGGTACATCTAGTATGGTAGATTGGCAATTTTTTAAAACCTGTCAACCTGTCAACAATTACGAGATATCTTAAATAAGACCGACTATTTGCATTTTCACATAATTTTTTCTCATTTTGATGTGTCCCTTTCACAATAAAATGTTGATAATGTTAGAGAGAGACAAATACACAGAAATTTAAATATTTGTATTTGAAGGACTGTTTCCATCATGAAATAGAAAAGTCTAGGTCGGGAAAAAAGTAAATGTGTTCAAAGTGTATTTTACATATTAAATTGTAATAAAATCAATTTGAAGATAAACATTGATATATGAGGAGTTTAAAAACAAATATAGTTCAATTAATTTTTTTTAAAATTATCATCTCCCTTCTTATCCTATTGCGATAGTAACGCAACAGGTTTTTGTCCTCCACATAACTCTATCATCTCAGTCATCACTCCCTTCTTGATCATGTCACCTTTTGCCTTATATAAAACTAGCTCTCCCCCCGTGTTGCTTCATCCGCATGACATTTTATTTTATTGTTTACATTTGTCAAATTATCAGTAGCAAATGTCAAAATGACATGCGATGGCAAACCTTGGCAATCTTGCTTCATTGATGTTGGCATCAACTTATGGTCTCTTTCCCAAATTAGAGTTTTTATCCAAAATATTTACTCCTAAGTTTAACGGCATGAAAATATATAGCCTAAAGCGTGACGTAAGTTTAGGACTTTTTATTAAAATAGATTATTAAAAAATATGCTGTTATAGCTGATTTCTTATGCAACAAAGAAGTGTGTGTTTACACTTTATTATAATAGTATAGATAAATATGAACTGACAAGTATATGTTTTTAAACTCCTTATATGTAAATGATGATCTTGAATCTGACGGATGCATCACAATTCCTATTTTTTAAAACATTTTAGTAGATAATTAAAAGCATAATCTACATGATTAAGTATATTTGAATTTATTTAATGACAAAAGATTTTTGATTAATAAAATTAACGAAAAGCCTGTAAATATAGGTATTAAGTGATAGGTAAGTCGCTCCTCATTTAGATTTAATTGTGTTACAATTATAATGACGACTAAGAAAAAGGATATATTTTAAGCGAGTAATGCAAATTATGAAATTTGTAATATGATCTCTGACTCGAACGGGATTTTATTCAATGAGATTTTACTCGAATAAACAATGATGGAATATTTTTTAAGTACAGTATTAATGTTTAGTAAATTTTAACATGCATTTACATTTTTTAAATTACTTGACTGGAAAATGTATTTTTAAAACATCTAAAAAGTACTGTTTTTTCAGTCAAGTCTTGTTTTTACCAAATAGTAAAGCATGTTGAATATTACAAGAAAACAAGAAGCTATTTTAATAAATAGGGTTTTTTTGACAATGTACATAATGTTGGATAACATTGTCTATAAACCAGTCAATTATTAAAATTTGTAATGCAATTTGATCTTACCAGGTTGTATAGGTTGAAATCATTTTAGTATTTACTAAAAAATCATGAAACATTGTGAAATCAATGTATGTATACAGAAACGACATTTAAATATGTAAGCATCTTAAAACTTTAAATTCAATTGAAATTTTCATGTCTGACAGATTGTAAGCTTTAGTCAAAGGACAGCATCGAGATTCGTTTCACAATTCAGCCATGAAATCGAAAAACCCTTTTATGTTTTATCATATGGCAAACATTTAAGAGTGTTAATTTTTATGATTTTTAAATTCCCATGATTTAGTAAGGTGCGATTTCACTAATATAAAAAATGGTTAATCATAACCTTTCCAGATAATTTTTACCTTTTAAATATTTATTAAAGTTTAAGTTGTATGTATTTGAATAGTGCAGTTTCAATATTTCCATGATTAATCAACAAAATTAACAAATTTTAAATAAAATAAGTGTATAGAAATATTCCCAAGTGTCAATGTTTGATTACAAAAAAACTGCTCTTTAGTGAAAACGTACCTTAAACCTTAGACTAAATGTCTGGAACATAGAGTATTATCTTTTATGAATGCCAAGTTGCTTGTATTTTGTCTATGAAATGTCCATTTTGTAAATATTGTAAATATAATTGAGAGTGAAATCAGAAGATCGTTCACGTAATAGTTACTATTATTTTTATTGATAGATTGCGGCTTGTGAGATTTGAAATGTGGTCACCAATGTGCTCTGTGAACGAAGAAAGTTGGAACAAATAAAATGTTATTTCTTTTAATATATTCTCGTTTTATTTTGGAATTACAAGTACAAAGGATTTTTACTTATTATTTTAATGATTTACATTTCCAGAAATTTTTTACATGTCTGTGTGTATTCCTTCATTTTAGTACATTGTGCGTCTTGCTTCCAAGATGAACACTCCTGCAATATTAAGGTTAGAAAATTTTAATAAAAATAATTAACAACGTAACTCTTTATGCATTTAACTCTGTTTAAAGTTTTTTCTATGCATTTTTTTCTATTTATCAGAGAATTAACTATATAAAACAAAGGCAATCGAATTGTAGATGCTATGCACTTTACGTCATAATGTTCACAATAAAAATTCATAACTTATCCAATGTTAAAAAACTAAGTCTATAGCTCGTCTTAAGGAATTAATAATAAAACAATTTTGATAAAATGACCGTTTCCTATAACTACTATTTCACTAAACTTAGGCTACTCACATTTGTTTTTTTAACATCACTCGGACGGAGTCCTTGGCGTAAACTAGTACATTAATATGTACATTCTACCTTACTACAAAAAAGTTAAAACATTTTTTGTACTTTCGATAGTTTTAAAATACTTACAAAGATCATATTAATGTAGACACATAAGTAGAATTGTAAAGGTTCACAAACGTCATCACTCGCGCTAGAGTCGGCCAGTAATTCCGCGAATTTCCCGCCAGAACAGTTGCGTCTCACTCTATCTATTGTCGTTTTCTCACTCGGATTCTCTTTCTCCCATTGGTTTAGCATTTCTTTCACCTTTTCGTCGTTAATTTTATCATCAACTAACAATTCGTTCTCCCCAGCGAGGCATTTGAAATAATCACACTAAAAACACAAAAGACTAAAATAATTTAAGCATATCTAACTAGCTGTTGCTCGCGGCTTTGTCCCTGTGCAAGTTAAAAAAAATGAAAAATACAGTTTATTAATTACTTGTTTGGCCTTGCTTGTAGTAATCCGACTATGACAGCCCTTAGTTTATACCCTGATATTTTAATTTTACCAATATCATAAATCCGAAAGTTTGGTTGGATGGATGTTTGTTAGAGTTTGTAGCCTAAACTGCTGAACGGATCTTGATGAAATTTGGCATATATGCCAATTTGGAAGAACACATAGGCTAATTACTTTTGTTATTTTTTATTCTACGCGGACTTAGTCGCGGGCGAAAGCTAGTTTCACATAACTAGACTCACCGTCATGTCTCCGTCGTCTTTGCATTCTGTCGACTCACTACTATCGAGCCACGATGCATCCTGGCAGCATTTCTGGTCATCGATCTAAAAATTACTGCTAATTTTAGTTTCTACTGGTTAATTTATGAATAATGGACTCACATGCATATTTTCAAAATTACAGCGATGGTCTTAATAAACCTTTAAACGCCAAAAGCCTAATGGTTTGGGGTACGGACTATCGATCTTGCGGTCGAGGGTTCGAATCCCGCCATTCGACTATTGTTAACCATATCACAAGTCTAAAGATTTGCTTGAATGATTAAAGCAAATATTTCAATAGTGAATTGAAGGATTCGAACCCACGGACACGTTATAACAGTCCTTACCCCTGGCTATAAGAGCGGGCGCACACCTTTGACTATATCTAAAACAATCGACAATCGCACAAATGTTTGCGATTGTCGATTACTTTAGTCAGACGAGTGCGCGCGCTCTTAGGCTATTGACGCTTCAAGTGTTTTGGTTGTAGTTTTTTTATTATTTCGCAGAACAATCAATGATGTCATAGTAATTCCCCCCATTCAAACTGTAAGTACCCAATAATGTTTTTGCAATCATTGTACTCAAATGTCCGTATAGAAATTTTAATCGCAAACAAATTAAAGTGCAAAACCAAGCGAAATGTTTTTTGGTAACGTAATTTTTGTAAGTATTGAGTATTGTAAATAATTATGGTGTTATTACGTACCGTTCCATTGAATACTGCTGAACACGCATCCTTCTGTTCTGTAGAATCCGCAAACACCTGTTATTCAAACATATATATATATATATATATTTTTAAAATACGAATGACACATTATTAATTTAAATTGTTTTGTAACATGCACAATTTTTGCACACTATTTTACAAAATGATGAATGAAATTAAACAAGCATTTTAACTAATACATTTTATGGAAATGATTAATTTAATTTCGATCGTACAATTAAATGTACACTTTCATATAGTTTTTTTTTAATTTAATATTAGCATCGAAAAGTATTTTTTTAAATAAAATGTAACACTATTTTATTTCATTGTAAGGTATTAGTTATCTGTATTGTATTTAATCCAAATACTCGTTCTATTTTTAAAAATGGAAGTTACCTGGCAGTTGGCAAACAACAGAATAAAGGCAATGGAGTACACAGCAGCCATCTTGCGGAGTCGACTGATATTTTTATGAATAGATTTACGCGTTGAATACATTTATATATGTTTGGTTGTGCATAATTTCCTGTTCTATCCTGCTAATAGTGCTATATTGTGAATGGCTTTACAAATTATCTCCATCGTTGAACATGACCTTGATTTAGTGTTCGTGGAAAATGTTGAAAATTATGTGACATTTTGTGATGTACCAACAATTATGATTTCTTTTGAATATAGTGTATTTAAATAAAAATAATAAACATATCTTAACTGGAGAATTGCTATTGAAGTATTGACTGAAGGTATTGTTCAATACAACGGAAGGGTTAAGTCCAAGGCATTACTGGCAAATGCTGATACTCAAATCATCTTCACCAGCTCACTACACGGCCCCACCGAGCGGCTCGGAGACTACCCTGGGTATGGGGTGACTAATCCATAGTCAACCACGCTGGCCAAGTGTGGGTTGACTTCACACATATCTTTGTATTTCTTTGACGATAAGTGCATGTTTTCCTTTACCGTAAGACCGTCGGGTAAAAAAAAATCGAAAATCATTGGTACATGGCGGGATTCGAACCCAAAACCTGTAGATTACAAATCAAGTATTTAAACCACTGAGCCTTGATGATCAAGTATTCATTTGATTTTAATTAGATACTGCGTAAAGAAAACAGTCTCAGTGCGTGTTGCTGTTTATTTCTTCATGGGACTGGAAATTAATTTTGTTTTTCTACATTTTACCTTGTTATGCTGAATTTTATTGTCTGTGACACTCAGCTATTGTCAACGAGAGCAAATGAAACTTTAAAATTGTAAGTACCCATAATATGCTTATTTTAATGGGATATTTGAAATATATCTTACTAATATTATAAATGAGAATATGAATGATTTTGTACACTCCATTGGATGCAGAAAATTTAAGAAAGGAAAGAGTTAATTTTCCAACACTTATATTGAAATAAATAAAATTAACGGTTATGATAATCACAAATCGATTATCTTGGATACTCTATATCTATGTTTTCGAATATATAAAAAAATCAATGTTTTTTAGCAGTCTGTTGCTGTCTCCAGAATTCTTCTCTATTCTCCAAGAATCGGATAGCCTCTTCAGCTTGTTTCATCACAACATCATTTTTCTTATCAGCAATCGCTAAATCGGGATTCTTGAGAAGGTTCTCCAAGTAGATTTTATCAGACATGAGCTGTCCTAACACGGGTCGAGACGACTTAGGGCTGTTTCGTTTCGATGGTTTTTTTACATGTTTAACCGCCCCGATGGTGTTTTCTATCGCTTCCTGGAAATTATTAAAACAATGAGACACTGTATACATCTACAAATTAGCTACGCATTTAGTGATATTAATAATGGGTCGTAATTTGTGCTTTTGGAACACCATTTAGAATTCTAATAACCGCTTTCGTGCCTCTGTACTAATTCCTACAACGTACGTATTACATTTCGTAATATGTATTGATACTTGTTAGATACGACTAAATGTTGCTCGGGATGTCCGCGTGAAATATAAAAATAATAAAGAATTTTTTAAATCGGTCCATTAGTTTTTTTTTTATAATATTGGTATAGATACCTGAGCCTTCTGTACTCCTAGTCTGAAGTCGTTCAAATCCGGTCTGGTACTCAGTCCACGATGGTAATGTACCAGACTGAGTTCGAACTCTCCGCAGTAGTAGAGAGCTTCCGCCTTTTGCAGGAGAGCACGCGCATGCTGCGGGTCCAACCGGAGAGCCGCCTCCGCGTCTGCCAACGCCAGCTGAGGCTCCCCAAGAAGCAGGTAGCATTTGCTGCGAGCCACGTACGCCGCCTTGTCTTCTGGAGCCAGCTCTATCGCCTGGAATGAAGAGTCTAATGTAGAATACTGGTCATTTCGATGTTGGCAGGGATGGTCCTTCGAGCTTCCCTAGTAAACTGTCGTTGGTCTTTCGGAAGATGAATGTTCTGGTTAGGTAAATATGGAGTTGCGACAGACTTTAGGGAGGGAAAGCCTGGGCTTAATCGTTATTTACATTTGGAGCAATGTGACTAACAATTACCACTTCATTTTTATGTGATATTCAGATTTCATTTTAAATGTACGTCTTGCTTTCTTAAAAATGGGAAAAACAACTTCCGTGTTCGTTTAGGTTTTGGATTCGGTTTAATTTATACAACAAAAGAATTCACGGATTACTTAACACTACAGATTTTTTGTTCGTAATTTGGTAGTTGAACCCCGTTGTTGAGTAGGCATTTTGCCAACATTGGAGGTTATATCATCATACTATGTTTGTATTTATCAAGAACTGACAAAAAATTGAAAGCTTGTTTGCAGGGTCGCAAAAAGTTATAGTAGTGTTTGATCTATTATTATTTAATTTACACATGTATATCTTCCAATCATTAAGAAGACGTTCAGTTACTAGGCAACCAACATTTAGCAATAGATCTAAATAGAACATCACACATTACCAGGATATGAAAAAAAAAAAGTTATTAATTTTTAGTTAAGCTTACATTACTGTTTCAAAAGTTTTTTGTTTGTTGATGTATTTAAGAAACTCATGAAAAATTACTTCATTTGCGATCCTGCGAAAAATACCTTATCAACAAATGAGAGAGCCGTGCGATATCGTTCTCTTGTCATCTCAGCGCGGGCGAGGGCAAGCAGCGTGCCAGCGTCTGCCTCAGCGGGCAGCTGCAAGGCGCTACTGCGCTCTGCCTGATCCTTCATATTGAGAGATAGCTTGATATCCTTGTAGCCCATGACCACAGCCGCCGCGCGGTCCTTGTCCGTGTACAGCTCTTCCTCACGCCGACGCCGTTCACGCTTCACCCTCCGCCGGTAACTCCGCTTCTTAGGCTCTACAGATTCCTTCCTCTCCTTCGTCGTCTGCTTATCTTCCTCCCCAGACTCACTTTTCTCAGCCGATGCAGGCGCTCGCTTGCTGATCGAAGCCTTAGGTACAGGTATCTCCTCTTCATCGTCACCAATACCAACTCTGACGAAACTTTGTAAGAATTCGGCGTCTTTTGTTGGCCCGAGAATGGAACGGATTTGAGCTTTAGCGGTATCCTCGTTCTCCATTTTGATACCGATTAGTCCTTACGTAAAGGTGTCGCGAATGACACCATGACAGTATCGACGCCCAGGCTGTCGTCGTCATGGTTACGGGAAGTGTTTTCGCACACTCTCACCACACGCGTTTAGTGCCGCACGTATTGTCGCAAGGGGAGTACGTGTTTGAAGAAAGGAAAAAAAAACATGACTCAAAGTATTGCAGATTATGTGCAACACTATGGAAAATTATAAACTATATTTTTATTCATTAAAAAATTGTTAAAATGCTTGACAAGTAACTGTATGCTTCAATCCAAAAAAAATCAGGAACATATAATACAAAAAATAATTTTAAATTACTATACAGAAAATGTACAAATGTATTAGTCGTTATAAATTATGCTATTATTTTTAGTAATACAATTGTTTAGTATAAATTAACTAATGTTAATTGATGTTACCTTAGCAAGCGAGGCTAGGGCGCGTTCATAGTTGCCGTTCTTGGAGTGTCCGGCCGCCTCATCTCTGTGTTTCTTGGCTTCCACTGGGTTGCTGGACTGCTGCTCCGGCTCCTTACCTCGAACCATTTTAACCTACATTCATTTGTTTAATGTAATGTAATTAAAAATCGATCTATAAATGTGGAACAGGGTTGTCTAGTTTCGAATTCGGAATTTAAAAAGGAAGGAAAATTTTAGATGCTATAAAATATGGGAGTTTCGTTGTGTAATTATTATAATTTTTAACTCGTTAAAATTGTTATAAATCGCACTAGACATTTACATATAGTATTTAAATGTGACTATAATATAACAATGATCTTGTCATTTAAAAAAATGGAACACAGACAAAAAATCCATTCTTTTATCTAACACTATTTCTGGAATACTTATTTTACGACATTCAATTATGTAACAAGTAAGCTAACATTTATAATTCCTTGCGTCTCATACTGAGCAACAAATCTCACAACGTTCGCTAAAACCTTTGTATATGATCTGATAATTTTAATCGCCTTACCGGCTTTCGTGATTGAACGCAATCTATCCTAACCTATCTATAATCTCTGCTTTTGTTACTTGATAGCAATTTAATACGAAGACATTAATAAAGCCGTGCTACGAAAGAGAACATTACTTATGAGAGTGGATACACCGGTAGAGGTAGACCTAGGAAGAGATGGATAGATTGCGTGAAAGGTGACATGATCAAGAAGGGAGTGATGACTGAGATGACGTATGATAGAGTTATGTGGAGGACAAAAATCTGCTGCGCCGATACTACGGGAGTAGGATAAGGAGGAAATAATGATGATGATGATGATGATTTAAAAAAAGCCGTGTTATTGATATGCAGTGTATTTTTATTTGCCAAGTTCTTTAGTCATTTCTCTATCGTTTACTAGGTACCCTCTAATGGGACGTAAGTTATAAAACTTGATGAGACCATCGAGAACAGTCCTTTAGTCAGTTTACCTTATAATACAGTCCAAATATGTACGATTTTGTGACTTTCCTCTTGTTAATTTTGGCGTCGTTTCCGTAGAATCGTGGTTGTCTTTAGCTTGTCTCAATGTTGTTTGATGTATTATTACTACGCGTTTTAAATACAAAGTGTTTTTTTTAAAGAAAGGAATAGTTCATGGTAATCGATTTGTACTTTTGTCAAGATAATTCAAACTAACAAATAATTAGATGGTTAGACATTTTTAGTACACTAAAATCTGTACGATGTTAGGGAACAGCGCGGTTGGGCGATCGCTCAGGGTGCTAGTCAGAAGGCGCATATGACTTGCGAATTATATAGTCCCACATAAGCTTGTTAGTTCCCCTAAACAAGGTAAAATGGGGGAAAACATCTCTGCCTAAAATATTCCATCGTATTTCATTCCTTAGGTAAATAAGACTTGTCTTTCATTGTCAAAACATAGTTTGAAAAACCTTTATTATCGTAATTGTAAAATCGTGTACCAAGTTACAAACAATATAAACAGTTTATTGTACGTAGACAAACGTAACGACAGCCATTTAGTACTATATTATACAACAAATTAGAGTAGTTACGTTTCCAAGTTAAATAATCAATTTAGTTACTGCGTCCCCGAACGACGTTGCTTCGATATTTTAGGGTTGCTACTATTTTCTATACGATGATAATAAAGCGTAAACACACACTTCTTTGTTGCCTAAGATGTCAGAAATTACAGCATATTTTTGACAAATTCTTTTTTTAATAAAAAGCTCTACACTGACGTCACGCTTTAGGCTGTATATTTTCATGCTATTAACTTAGGAGGTAAATATTTTGGATAAAATCCTAATGTGGGAAAGAGACCATAAGTTGCTGCCAACATCAATGAAGCAAGATTGTCAAGGTTTGTTAAATAATTTGCAAATGAAAACAATAAAATATTTTTTTCATAATTTCATGCGGATGAAGCCGCATTAGAGCAGCTGGTTGTAAAATAAGATTAACTTGTTTTATCAATTAATTAAACCTATTGAAACACTAACAATGCCGAAATAATTATAGAGGAGAGGAGGAATTCTCAAATAATATCTCCCTTTATCCTCTTCAAATTCTAAAATAGGAAAAAAGGGAAGGGACATTAATTCAACTTATTGAATTTTCTAAATGTAGTCAGTACTATAAATAGGTGTTTTTAATATCAAGCGTACGTTTTATTTCATTTTTAAAAACATTTATATTATAGTTTACAATATTTTTGTGCTTGTGGCAGCCCTAGTCTGAAGCAGATTATCATGAATAATATTCATGCAACCCTGTCGACTGTGGAGAATCACGAAATGCTACACTTTTCATCATAATGCAGGAAAAAGTTTGTACAACGGAAAATTAGACAGCAATCAATGTTGTTTCTATTCGTTTCTTTTAACGATTTAATATGTGTAACACAAACTTATAAACGTTGAAATATCGAAATACTAGCTTGCCAGCGACTGAGTATTTAATAAAAACTTGTGTAACCAATCTGCATGTTCTTCCAGACTATATACTACATCTGTGCTAAGTTTTACTATGCTTCCGACAAATGGTTTTGGAGATATGTGCGAAGTAAAAAACATCCATCCATTCACAATTATAATATTAGTAAAAAGTAAGTTATAGTGTGATTAAAATTAATTTCCAATTTACGTGACTAATAAATTCTAACTTCGTAATGAGAAAAACTATCTCTACCTAAATCTTGATACATATTTTATTAAACCACAAAAAAAAACGTTTATTAGTGGTAAAAACTCATTAAAACCACACCAATAGGTCATGTAATATTACAAGCATGATATCCAATTACAAAAGCTGTTAATTCCAGCGTAGTTTTCTGAGCGCGCCTAAATCGCTGTCATCGCGCTGTCAACCAGCTATTTCGTGTTCGTCACGAACGCGCCAAAATGAACAATGAATAATGGCCGAATGGAAAAATTTAAAAACAAACGCTAAACGAAGTTATTAAAAAACACTAACAGCTTAATATGAGAAAGGTAATTCTTTATGTATTAACAATTATTTTTTTTTTCATATCTTCTTCATTTATTAGTTTTTTTATCTGTGTAGATTCCTGAATTTGATTTTTTGTATAATGGTTATCTAGTAGATTAAGCCTAGGGTTTAGTACGTTAAAAAAGCTGTAAAAATAATTTAAAAAATTACTACGTCAGTTATTACCAGACTATCTTCATTCGTAAACCGATATACGAAAATAGGCAATTTCCCTAACTGATTTATGAGTGCTGCAGAATTTTTTTTGCTTTAGCATTAGCATAGAATGCCGACATGCGATCAACTGTAATATAATTTAATTTATCAATGCGAATTGAATGACGTCTCTGAATGTATCATTGGCTACAAGAGCACGCAAGCTCGATTTCTACTGAGTTATGGCCACATAACTACGAAATTACAAAAAAATGCCGCCTGATATGTAAAATATATTTTTTCTAAATGTACAAATAGATCTTAACTGGTATTTTGTATTACTTATTGTTATTTGTATGTTGTGAGATCGGTTTTTTTTTTTAAATTAAAATTTTAATCCACTTCTTTTAAAGATATTTATTTAGTTACTATTTGTTACTTCACAAAGCGGTGATTTTCAACTCAATTTAATGTCAAATAGGAAATAACTACGAAATTTTAAAACGTGTGTAAATTTTAATATTTCGCAGTTATTAGCAAAATATTAAAATTAGTAGCTTTCGCCCTCGATTCCGTCCGCGTGAAATTAAAAAAATAATGTAAAACATAACCTATGTTACTTACTGACAATGTCGCTTTTTAATAGTGAAACAATTTTTGTAATCGGCTCAGTAGTTTTTGACTTATTTCATTACAATCAAACAAACAAAGTTTTCCTCTTTATAATATTATATTAGTTCAATTCTTGCGCGTAAATTATTGAATAACGTTTATACCTTTTATAAAATTCACTTCGCTTTTATACTTTGGAAAATCGTAAACAATAAAAAGACTTAAATTTAAGTAATGTTGCTTATTGAAAACATAACATAATCAAATAAACATACCTTTAAAAATAATTGTAACGAATTATTTTTCCACTATAAAATATTTACTAAAAAAACTAAGCTGCAATCGAATAATCAGATTTAAGAAGTCAATCAGTAAATGTGCCCCGTACCAATGGGGTTGAATCACAGACTGAGCAAGAATACTGAGCTCGAAGCAACTGGTGGGAAAAAGCTTTAATGAAAGGTTTCGCATGCTACGTAGTGCTTTTAACTTTGAAGCCACGCTTGCGATGCGAAAGCCCTTCCCGTGTTAACATTAAAAACTTAGTTAAGTCGCTTACTTTTTTATACCTTTTCTACTAACGATACACGTGATTCAGTTTGAATTTTTTACAAATCTGAACGAGACAAAAAAAATCACTCTTTTATAGAAAAGTATAGACTAATATTAAAAAGGATAGGTTTGTATTTTCGTCTGTAATGAAAAAACTCAATAAATATTAGACAGATTTGACAAAATTATTTTACTATTAGATAGGTTTTTTTTTACTGAGACAGATAGGCTATATTTAATTCTGTTTGTTAATTTAATTCCGCGCAAATTCGCGAGCCTAAGCTAGAATTAGATAAGCAAAGAATTGACTATAATAACATAGAAAGAATGCTTAGTAATTAACCCTATCTTTCGAATCTATTAATTCCAGGTAATAAATTAGTTCTTGTCTTTTTTTGTAAGTATAGTTATTCTGCCACCGATAATTTTCCTTATTTCTTTTTGATGTGAAATAAAAGCAAAGTCATTTCCGTATAAAAGTTTCGTTTAAATGAGAGTTTTATTTACTTTGGCTGCATTATGCGAAGTCGGGTATTGCGTAGTTATGTCACGCAAGATTATTTGCTCAGTAACTCTGCTGAAATGTTTTGCAAGAATGTTCTGATGAGATGGGAAGGTTTTAGGTTAGAATGTTAGTTTAAATTATCTTTTGTTTTGATGAGATTATTTTAAGTCACCGTTAGAATACGCGCATATGTTTAGTCGCGCTTTGATTTCTATGAGTTTATGGTATATGGAGGTGCGCTCGCTACTCGATTTTGGCTCCGGCTACGAAATAATCGACAATCGCACAACAGTAGTGCTATATAGTTTAGTCAAAGGAGTGCGCATTCTTTTAAAGCGATAGGGTTCTGTTGGAACCAGGAGCGGATCCAGAGGGGGGGGGGGGTCAAGTGGTCAAGTCAAAAGCTTGGCAAAATATGTAAATATATTTCGTCAGGCTCTTGACTTGACCACGACTATGTGTCCCCCTCTGGCGCCAAAGCTGGATCCGCCTTTGGTTTTAACCAATCCACACATTAGTTATGACAAAAAAAACAAAACCGACTTCCAAACAAAATACACGAAAAACAAAACAAAATGCACTAAAAACAAAACAAAATATTCTCAAAAAAACAGTA